ATTATGTGAGCAATACTCGATTTTCATTTCGATAAAGATATGGGCCCTGAGTAGAATGTCAAGTCTTCGAGTGTACTTCTGAAATGAAATAAAGGCTTCACACAAAACCCCATCAGTTCGGAGGTGGCTTAAAATAAAATGTAAGTCGTCTTCCAATTTGCTGGAAAAGCATCAGGACGCTTATTACCAATTGAAGGAGGAGCACGACCGGAATCGCTTCAGCGATTTGAGCCTGAAGGGTCCAACATTTCAATCAATTTGGATTGGAATTTTTGATAAAAAAATTCGGTCACTTGGTGACTTTCAATTTGCTTTTGTAAAATCAAAAAATACCGAAACCTTTGCAATTACTTATTCTTCTTCTTCTTTTCAAATTTTAGAAGATCGGCTATAATGGAGACGAGAAAATTCGAAGCAGAAGATAGATCACGAAATGCAAACAGAAATACGCCCAGTGATTGTCTTTGGGTTTCGGCGTGATTCACAGCCAATATAAATATTCAGTGAATGCCAAACTGCATGAGAAACGATCACACCGTCTTTAAAGACTATTTCTAAGTAGTTTCGAAGATCCCAGGCCGACCATAACCTTGCACTGATAACGTCACGATAGCTCTGGTGAAGTCAAAAATCGAGGAAGACCCACGATTGACACAAGAAATTATTGTTAATGAATTGGGTTTGAATGCCATGGCTGTATCGCGAATATGAAGTTACCATTTGGGCCACATGAAGAAATCTCCTCGATGGGTACCACGAATTGCGAATGAGGACCGGGGGCATTTTGATCAATTTAGCAATTTTAGTAAAGTCATTACCGCTGAGAAGCGTTGCTTTAATAAGTACGATGCAGAAACCAAAAAAGCAGTCTATGGTATGCTACTCAACAGAGGCAAACCCACACGTAAAATCTAAGCAACAAAAATCAGCATCAGAAGTAATGATGTCAGTTTACTTCACCCGATATAAAGTCGTAACTGCTCTTCTACTAGAAAGCTCAAAGAGTGCTCACCGAAAGTTTAAAAAAATTTGTTGGAAAACAGGAAGAAAGAGGTTTTGCGGCACTACTTTCTACATTATGACAACGTGCCATCTCACACTGCTGAAGTAAAAAGTAGTTTGGTTGCGACCTCTGGAATTGAAGAAATAAACTAAGCACACTATTTCCCGGATTGCCTTGTGATTTCTGGTTATTTCCAAAAATTAAAAAAACATTTAAAAGGAAAGGACTTTCATAGCAACGAGGACATAATTAATTCGGTTCATGCTGAGCTTGATAAACTTAAAAGGCAAGATTTTGACGACTGTATCCAGAAGTGGATCTATACGCTTAAGAAGTCATTTATATCAAGGGCGATTATATAAAGAAGATAAGAAAAGAAAAAGATTACGAATAAATACAAAAAGTATTTTTTTTTTCTGGCCAACTTACCGAATTTTTATGAAGCCTCTCGTATATAAATATAACCTAACCAAGTTTTTTTTATATTTTGAATATTAAGGGAAACTTAATTAATTCCATAGAATCAAAATTGAATATCTCTGAATCTTTTGGTTTGCAATTTTGCAATGGACTGTAAACTGGGACAAGAAAATCCAATTTAACGTACAACAGGTTACGTATACGCAGTGTACGGTGGCGAAATTTTATATGCGAGTGCAAGGTGTGCACGCTTCGTTTATATACATACATACATGCGTACGCAGACATTCGATTAGACGAAAACCGAATTAGCTATTGTCAATATGCAAATCGACTGGTATAATTTTTGGTCGCAGCCACATTGCAAACAACACTCGCAATGCAATTACAGGCTTACAATACTCATATTATGCATGTGGAAAGTGCATGGCTGTTCTGTGCGTTGCACATTTTCACGCCACTTTACTCTGCTCCAAAATAATTGCATACAATCACCAATACCAAAAATCTATGCTTTTCATTATTGTTCCGTTTTCTGATTCGCTTGTATACAATAATGTATGTATGCCACGCATGTGCAGTGAAATATGTGCTTTTGGTGTACATTTTAATATCTGTTGTCTTTTTCAACTGGATTACCTAAAATTTGTTGAAAACAAATACTAGAGAATTAGCTGTTGAATCAATCAACTTTGAATTTTCAACGAGACAAATGCTTGTGCTTTAATTTTTAGTTCATTACGTAAGTAAAATCAATAATTTACTGCGAACTTCTTCTTCTTCCACATAATTTACATAAACACTACTCACGAAATTATGGCCGAAACAACAACAATACTCTTTTAATTTATTCACTTTGTTGTTTGGTGCCAATAAGAAACAAACAAAATGAAGTCAGGTTCTTGCTCGCCTTATCCTTTCAATTAAGTGGACAGTTTCATTCTTTTCTACTTTCAACAGCGGCCACCGCGTGGGAAACGTTCAAAGCTGCGCAGATCATAGCGATGAAATCCCGTGATAAAAACTGAGAATGTGCTCCTAGTGTTGGCCAGCGCAAGTTTGCCCAGACGTATAAGTTTTGAGTGGGTACCGAATCCAAGCATAGCGGAGTAGAAGTATCTCTTTACTGTGCTGTCGAAGGCTGCCCTAAGGTTGATGAATAGTTAATGTGTTTGAAAAGTGGATTTCTTGATTTTATCGCATGGTGAATACCTGAACTGCCGTATTTAAATAGCTCCGCCAGTAATAAATCTGCCACTGCCGGCGAATGCTTTTCGAACTTTTGCAAAGTCGGGCAATGCACAATATGTTACATCGTCATCGATAGAGGAAACTGGCTTACCATCTCCGAGTGTTGCATTTTAACTGCCATTCAGCAGATTGGAGAAGTCTTACCTACATGAACATAGCTTACTCTGGACATCGGTTTCTAGGTAACCTCTTTGTTTCCTAAAAGAATCTGCTCGGGTCTAGAAACTTTCGGTTACTCGCCACAACTTTTTATAGAGTTTCTGAGCATTATTCATATACACACCTTTCGGCATCTTTTTTCTTGCGTTGGTAATGCGTCTTACTCTCGGTATCTATCCCATCCTGCACATGTAGTGGTCGATCACAAGGTTGCCAGGTGGGCAATCTATTTTACTCCACTGTGACACCACAGTCATCGTCGTACCAACTGTTTTTGCGACCTTTCCGGGAAGCAATAGCTTCGTTTGCTGTTGTATTGAGGCAGCTTGAAATTCCGTCCGACAGTTTTCTTATACCAAGTTGCTGATCTTTGCTCTTAGAAAGCAGGTGAGCAAGTCGAGTAGAAGGCAACCCCATTAGGCTGTGTGTTGTGAATGCAGCTTCTCAACGTCGAACCTTCCTTGGGGGAGCTTTTCCTTGGTCCTATAAGATAGTGATCAGGGTCGATTTTAAGTCCTAAGAACATATGCACACTTTTAATACTGGATACATTTCTTCTGTCAATCGCAACAATCGATCATGATTGCCCAATTTCCGATTCGACGATTTTTGATTTGCCGTTGTGCCATAAATGCCTTCTTTGCCCTCTCTGACAGCACAATTTTCACATCGCGGCTTGAGCGGCGGTCATTTTTGAGTTATATGTACTCATAGAAAGCATCTTTGGTCACATAGACCTTCACTTCTAGTGGAGTATAGGCGCAAGTCCACGGTATGTTGAAAAAATTTGCTTTTATACTGATTTTGACAAATCCAACAACAAATTTGCGCTCCTTTATATAGTATGTCCGTTGTAGTAATTTTTAAAAGGACCTACTCGAATGAAAAAATACTCCAAACAGATGTTTTTTGGGTGCTACCTGTTCGTGAGCTGCCTGAACCATACGCAAAAGTATCGTTTTTGGACACTTCAAGATGAAAGGTACTCTTGAAACGTAAACTTCGTTATATAGCCCCACAGATGTCTAGTATGGATCAAATATATATCAGAGACTTTTCTGTGATGGAACACATAAAGCAGAGATTCTTCCTATTGTAGTTCCAACTTAGACTCACAAACTTATCTACCTTGGTTCGTAAGCCTTTAAGAAACATTCGCGCTAAATATTTCATTATTAGAATATTTATCAGAAAACATTACGTTCATAGGCATCAGCTAAATGATGGTTTCAAGACCAGAAATGCCTGAAGCTGACTGACGCTTAAAGCAGAATGACTTCATGGAAGCAAATCTGCTCCAACCAGCATAGTTCCGCTTATTTAGCTACATCAATTGGAAAGTCATAAAATAGCAAATATACAAAAATACCTTAAAGCTCACAAATCTTGAAATCATCTTTTGCAAATCCTCGTTGGGTGGACCAAATAAATTCACACATTTGTGGCAATAAATTCAGTTAAATTGGCGAATTTTGTTGCTCCAAAGCTAACACAACCATTCATCGCAACACCAAAAATTCATACACCAAAGTGCGGCCCTCGCACACAAATACTTTTCTCTGCACACAACAACAAGGGCTAAGTCGATTTTTATTAATTTTCAGCAATACCGCTTAATTTCAAGGCAATATAAACACCGAGCAGAGTTTGTCTTTCACTAATGACAACTGTTAATATAAAAAAGTTAAAAACGTGAATTTTCCTTAAAAATGATTTACAACGAGAAAATACTTGTATTTTGTTGCCCCACACCATATTGCCTTAACTCGATTTGGACCATTATAGGTTATTACAATAGGTTTTTCACAATTTTCCCTTTGAAAATCCTCGCCCATTTCTCAAGAATTTTCAGTATTTCCTTTAACAATGCAAGGAGTCAAATGGCGAAAATAATGGATAAAGGATGAAAAAAATTCACAAAAAATTCAAAGCTTTTCAAAAAAAAAAAACGAAAAGTAAACTGAAAATGCTTGGGTTACAGCCACTAAATTTTGCGTACGCATTTGCCAAAGAATATATGTGTGTGCGTGTGTGTACATATTCATGTCGATTTGTAAGAAGCTGCTGCTTTGCACAATATTTAAATTTATGTGTTCGCCCATACACATTTTCACATTTAGTAATATATACATATACACATGTATGTATGTATGTGCATTTAACTTACCATTTCTATAGCCAACGAAATCTACATCATCGTCAATGAGATGGCGCACCGTGGAACGACTTCCGAATCCGCTGCCTGTTTGTGGGTTGTTTTCACTGTCATCAACATGACGTTTCGCCAAGAGCACCGTGGGTGTAACTGAGAGTGTTGGGGTGTCAGCGGCCGTTTTTGGCGGCATTTGTGCTGCTGCTGCTGCTGTTGCTGCCGTAACGGTAACATACTCTCTGGCTTGGGCGGCGACACAGACGACATGTTGGATTAATAAGGCAACCGCCAAAAGATTAAACGCCCATGTGCAGGTGCTGATGGCAATGTTTTTGCCATTGTTGCTCACACCTTTGTTGCACCTTTTGGATTTGTAGGAGCTGCATTTGTCTCGTTTGTTGTACATTGTCCATCTCAATATTGAATAGCCGCGCGTTAAGAGGGAAATTAAGAGTGATTCAAAATAAAAACAAAAGCGTTCAAAAATATGGGTAATACAGTAGCTTATTCATTGCGTATATGCCTATTTATATATATTTTGATTAGATGTATCCCAGCAATGTTTGTACGGAAATTCGAAATCTATTTTTTTTATTATGCACTCACTGAAAGGTATAAAAAAATGATGTGAAAATTTATATAAAAAAACAGAAAGTTGCACATTTAGACATTTTCGATAATTAGATTTTTTTTATGAATTTCATGCACTTTTAACCGGTTAATATTAATCAAGTATTTATTAACCTTCTGGCAATTCATATTAATTCTGTGCAAAATGCCTAATATAATATGAGATTAATTTAAAAAATTTACCAATATTCACTTTTTATTAAAATCGTGACTACTTCCAAAGAAATGCAATGCTGGGGAAAATGATTTCTAATTTTTTTTCTTAAGAGTTTTACTACGCGTTTATGGTGTGAAAAACTTAGTGTTCAAAAAAGTTATTACATCTTGAGGAACTCAAGCAGTGTTTAGCTTTCTAGAAATCGATATTTTTTTGACATTACTGTATAGTCTATAACTTCGAAAAAACATATTTCGAAAAAACATATTTCTAGTAGCATAACTGTATTAGTTTCGGAGTTATTTTAAGCCGCGTGAGTTCAATGATGTACAATAGTTTAGTTTTAGTGTGAGTTTTTTTTCAAATTCAATTCTATTCTATTGAAAACCTATTCAAGATTATTTCAGGCATAAAGTGACCCTCGGATATTTGGATCGGATTAAAATTATAAATTTGGCATGGAAAATTCCTAAATTTGGCACGGAAATACCTCAATCGTGAGCCACATTTTTAGTGAAAAAAAATCCCTTTTTTGCCTTTTTTCATTTCAAGAACCCTGAAGGCAGTTAAGATGACAGCAAAATGGAAACTTGTTTATTTGGGAACACCTTGGTATAGCGCATATCTTGGCTAGAATGCTGTTAAAAAAATATGTAAATATGTACTGTAAGTTGATACTGTAAAACATTCAACGGAGAAGTTTTCTTCAAACAATTTCCGAAAATCACCTTTTTTTGCTGTCACTCTTTGAGTTCAATAACCTCTAAGCACATTTAATTACTTCTCCAAAGTTTATTATCTAAATAAATGGAGAATTTTGACAGATTTTTATATAGGAAATGAACCATTTTAGTACATAAACCTAAAATAAAAGCCACTTTGCAAGCATAAATATGATTAAAAACTTTGAATTCTACTTCACACGGACCGACGGTAACAAGAACTTGACACTAGTAAATGGTCGAATCACGAAATGCTTACGCTATTTAAAGGCATTTCACAAATTAAAAGAACTATTATTTACAACTCAGCATCAGCGATACGCTAATAACTTTTAAATTTTTAATTTGAAATGCGTCCAAAAAATATTTTTTATTATTTCCTAATTACGAACCAGGCTTCGCATGGGATAACGCGCTTAGGGCAATTTTGGAAGTAATATTTTACAGAGTTTGTACTGTTGTTCAGCTTAACAATTTCTGGCGACAGAAATTTGCAACCTTTCACTTCATCACAACAACTGCATTTTGTTCTTGTAGACGCAGTTGTGACAGTTTCAACACTCAGTTGTCTCACATTAACGTTTATGTTAATTCTGTAGGTGGCATTTTTATTTCAGATATTCTTAAGTTTCGCGATGATTTCATTAATACATTTGAACGCAGCTTAAGCTTTCTTTGAACACGTTGCGCGCCTAATTCCCCAGGTGGTCGTTAACAAAGTGCTTCCGAACGCGTGTAAGCTTTGCAGTAGAAAAAAATGGAGGAAATGCACAGAAAAAGTACACTGTAGTTGCAGTGGGATTTTATTTATGTTTATGATTCACAACGGGTATTTCTCTGTTTTTTTATGGCATCTTTTTTTTTTTAATTGCTTCATAAAGCGCTCGGATCATCAATGCAAATTGCAAAACATTTCCACCAAAAGCTTTAAGCTGTTGAATGTATATTTACACGCCATTAATTGAATGTATGAACAACAGCGAGAGTTTGCTTTATAATTTTTGAAAACGTACATTTAACACAACATTCATATAAAGCGCGCTTCCGTTTGTATACTCTGTGCACTTGTCTGTTTTGCTTCCTCAGCCACCTTCGACGACACCGTTCCAATATGGCGGAAGTATTTAAATTCAATTTAGTTACGCATATAAATTCAGTTTCAGCGAACACTTTCCACCAGCACAAACGCGAGAATATTACTGTTTAAGTAGTGCCAGGAGGTTTAGAGCAACAACAATATGTATGTAAATAAATATTTACGTTGGTTTCATCTGTGAACACATACACATACATACATTAGGAATATAATAATACCAGCACGTCTGGAGTCTTTGAAAAATTTATTATTTGACCACTTAAAGAATTCGCCCGTTGAATTTTCGAAACATTTCTGTTCTGTACGCCGGCACGTTTGGAAAATAACTGACAGATTTTATATCCTCGTAGTAGGTAAAAAGGACGAGCGCATCGTCTGCTTCGGAAATTGCCGTCGCTCGTTTATTGCTCGTTTCTATCTCTTTTTCGGCGTAACATACCTGCCTCTAGCCGCGTTGTTAGTTGAAAAATGTCAACAGAGAACAAAAATGCCGCCAAAAATTTCTGAATGAATTTCCAAGGCATGCGCATCAGAAGCGGATTTGCAGACTAAAGAGAACATTTACATTTGCGACTGCAGTTACTAATTGTTGCTTCGCTAGTAAAGGTTTGCATAGAACAGTTTCTAAGACAGCTGACTTAATAAAAAACAAAACAACAACTTAAATTATGAATAAATTCCATGTTTCACCCATGGCTATGGATAGCGTTGAAAATAAATATTAAGTTAATGGCAGCATAGAGCCGGGCTGATATACAAGTGAACGAGCGGTGTTAAAAAGTCTGCAGACTTTTGAAATAGCGCGTCTAACTGTTAAACTTTTAGATGCCCAACACTTATTTTTAACTAAATAAGGCACGCTTTTCGTAGCAAAGGAAGGGTTAAAATATCAGGTGTACAACTTTGCTTCCGCCGTTTTGCGATAGGTGGCTGTACCGGCTGAGGCTGGTTGAAGTGCATAGATGAAAATGCCTTTGAAGTGAGTGTGGACAGTACCTAACGAATTGTAATCGCCGTTTCAGTGACAGTTGTTCATGTTTTCGTATTATTCACGCTCGAAAGTGTCCGTTTATGTGCCTAATTCTCGCCATTTGTGCCTAATTCTCGCATCAAATACTCTCAGTGAAAGAACGTGTCGGTAGTGGTTTCAATGGTTTCAAATGGTGATTTCGATGTCGAAGGCAAACATCGTGGTGGAAGAAAAAAAAGTTCAAAGACGAACAACTAGAAGCATTGCTTGTTGAAGACTCGTGCCAACTCCAAGAACAGCTTGCCGAATTGTTGGGAGTGAGTCAGCAAGCCTTTTCAAAACGTCTCAAGGCCCTGGGGATGATTCAGAAAGAAGGAAACTGGGTGCCATACGAGTTGAAACCGAGGGACATCGAGCAAAAGTGGTCAAAAAGTACCTGGAAACGCTGAAATGGGAAGTCTTGCCCCACCCGCCGTATTCCCCTGATGTCGCCCTTTCTGACTTCCATTTGTTCCGTTCGATGGTACACGGCCTGGCAGGTCAACATTTTCAATCATGGAAAAATAGATTGATTCATGGATAGCGTCAAAAGAGGACTCCTTTTTTCGAGCCGGGTTCCGAAAATTTGCCGGAATGATGGGAGAAAGTTGTCGCTAGCGAAGGACAATACCTTGAATAATATATCTGTAAGCACTTTTTCGTCATAAAGCTTTAAATTTTGGAAAAAAAACGGCGGAAGCACAGTTGTACACCTGATAACAAATTGTTTTACCGTGAAATATCTTAGAATATTTGGATCATAGAAGAAAAGAGTAGAAAACATAACCAGAAAATATAAAGCACCCATTTACTTATATACTGGCCAAGCATATGTAAATGAAGCAACCAAATATATTAAAAATATTTTTCGAGTAATGAGCTGTCTGTGTTTCAACTTTGCAATTTCTACATTTTTTAAATTCTTTTATTCTTTCGCATTTATTTTTGGAGACTCGTTCGATCAATTCGACTGGTAACAGGCGAATGATGCCCGTGATGTTTTGCTCCAAGGCCTGAACTGAAGTGGAATAGTCCGCATAGACTTTAGACTTTACAAATTCCTACTGGAAGAAATCTAACGGTGTGATATCACACGATTTTTGTGGTCAATTAACCGGCCCGATGCTTCCTTTGTTTTTTTTTGGATGAAATGGCAAATCTTGAAAATATTCAGGTTGTTCATGTTGCTCATCGTCCCAATCGTGCCAATTTTTCTTGTTTACGTACCCATTGAGCTAGAAATGGAACTCTTCAAGAGCGGAATCTGGTTTCAGTTTTTGGGATATTCCAAACTAAAAGTGCAAAAAAGACACGTTTTTTGCTCCATTTGAGATCATGCCACTTCTAGAAAAAAAAAAATTTTTTTGTTCGTTATTCTATCTGACCAATTCTCAGCCACTTTGAATTTTTAAAAAATCTTCTTTTGCTTCTGAAAAATTCTTTATTGAATTTACTAATTTTGCCAAATTCGTCAATGTCCAGAAATCGTGTAGAACTAAATGAGCAAATACTTGAATTATGATTATTAATGAGAGTTTTGGTGTTCCTGACATGAAATCCGATCGTAATCAGCAACTCCAAAAAACCCTGGGGAATAAGTTTTGGGAAAATTCACCATATTGGATCCACCATTTAAAATGTTTGAAATGCCAATCAATACAAACACTATTAAAAAGGAATCTATATTTGGATCTCCATGGACAACATCGATAAAAATATATTTCCCCATGGAGGCAGTCATATCATATTTATCATTTATCTAGAATCATATAATTAATGTCAAATATGCATCAAACCTCTCGCACAGAAACCCTTGCCCTTCTATGAGCAAAAAATATGGGATAATCGATTTCCAAAGACTTGGGGCCAAATCTTCACCAGCCAATTATGATAACCAATTGCTACAAGGCTCTCACTATCGGTATGTGCAATCTGGCATTGTCGTGATAAAAAATAAGTCATTTCCTGTTGGCTTTCTTTTCATGTCGAAAAACCCAGTGATCTACACAAAATTATCAGTCTGATCTGCTGATTTTAACCTCCATACTTCTTCTGAACTCCAACTAGAATACTATCTGGTGCTCTAACCAGAGGCCCCAGTTTTTCTCGAAAAGCCTTAGAGATGTTTGCGTGCCGATTTAAACAAAGAAATCTTTTAACACCAGAAACAAGAATTTCATTTTAATTTAAGATCACTTCTAACAGCTTTGCTGTGATATGATCATTAACGTACGCTTCCTCCACAACCATTGGGGTAGTTTTCCTGAAAATGCTGGTAATCTGAGTTAAAAACAAAGGGAAAGTGGTAAGTGGTTGAAGTAGTTGGTTTTCTTAATAAAAATTTAACTTTTCTCTAACAAATCGCATTATTATTATTTCCCAAAAACTGATAACAACAATCTGAAATCGACACCCTGAAAAAGTATAGCATTAGTCATAATATAATTTATCATTTATCTGAAAAGGCCTATCGGCCTAAGGGTATTAACTCATAATATTTCATGGAAAAAAGGTCTCATCTTATGTAAGATTATATAATGTGTATTATATAAACATTAAGACTTTTATAATTATCAATTTTATGTAAAGTTCATTGGATACTGAACAACAGAAAATTTATTAGACATTTTAATAAGCATAAGTACATTTCTATGGCTACAGATGCGAAGGACACCTTGTAAAACCGTTGTCAATTAATTCATCCCCGTCTTTGGTCACGTCTATTACCCCTTACGTTTCTTCGTACAACGATAGTTCTTCTAATTCTACCATTAGACCGTTCTAAGGATCTCCTTAATCGGTTTATGTCCAATCGAAGCGCTCGAATTTGTTTCCTTTGACGTATGTTGGATCTCCTCAGTCGAATGATCAGTCTATTGAGTCTATTTATTTTTGTATCGCTGCTGGTATCGCTAGTGTCGCTATCGCTGCTGCTGGCTGTGGTTGTGGTTGTCGTTGTGGTTGTAGATTCAGTTGTTTCACTGGTATCGCTGCTTGTGTCACATTGCGCCTTTCGAATCAGCAGTTGGGTTGACAGGATTACAATCCAGAAAAAGACAATTAGTCTCATTGTATCTATTGAATTATTGAATTACTAGTCCTAAAGGTGAAAGATAAATGTGACTTTTTAAGAACCGATTATCTCTTTTATACCAAATAACATCAAACAAGATATAATAATAAGCAAATGGCTTTTATTCATTTAATCACCACATGTGTCAGAATAAACAACAGAATTCTATTGTAAAAACATTGCAAATGTTGGTGGTAAATATCTGTAGGTTCAATTTGTTTTTCGCTAAAGAGAAGCAAATAATAAATGCAAACTTTATAGAATTTAATAACGAGCCAATTATGCATCCAATACTCTAAGCGGGTGTGCATTGTTATAAAGAGTATTTCATTTTTGTTCACACAATGGTTGTTGGAAGACTGATATATTGTATTACGCTAGACCCCGACTGTGTTGGTCCGTGAGGGCATATCTGCCAGTTTCTTTTGATTTGCACATTTTAAAATTCAGCCAGGGTCTATGAAAACCACATCCATTCCCATACAACGTCGGAGACAGAAGGCATCCCGTGGATAGCAGTATGTGCTAGGTGCCGGAACAACAACTAAACAATTTTCTATTGAATGCTGTTGTACCTCGGCATTCAAGAAAGGCTATTATTGAATTTCGGTCATAAAAACCATTCGCCATAACTGTGGTTCAAGGTTAATACTTGAAAAAGTAAAGTCCAATAATACCACGATACTATAAATCGCATGAAAACGTTACACGTTGAGGAGTATTTTCAACAACAAATCTTTAGGTTTCCTAGTCTCACATGCTAATTGAGGTAACCATAGAAGTAGCAATGGGCCCCATTAGTAAAGATGATTTTTCGATGAAATTTCGCATCATTTTCATGCATTTCAGGGACCCAATCAGCAAAGATATGAGGTTCGTATTGATCGGTATGTTTGAGTTCTCTGGGTTTCCGCAATAGCAATATTCTCAGTTGCCCTTGGGCGAACAAGGTGCTTGACGACAACCGAAAAATCTTTTAGTTTTATGAACCGTCTCTGCCAGGTTTTCACCATTTTTATAGTGAATCCTAATAATTTCATTGCATTGCTGGCATAGTTTTTAGATGTCTCATTGGAAAATCCTTTTTTAGGTTCTATGTAACCGCAGAAATATACTCGGAGGGTTTGCCTTTCCCATCCGAGGGGAGGGTGTTTGGCCGAATCAGGACTCTAACCCTGCCCATTCGAATGGCAACGCATGCATAAAAACTCTTAACCAATCCCTCCTA